AGCCACAAGGGATTACAAACTACTACACACACTGTCAGTGCCAAGCCTGGATAAAAATAATTAAGTTGTGGCTGTCATCTGTTGAAAGCTGTCTTTGGAACTTTTTTGTTGAGGGTCCATCACCTGCTTGTTTCTATGGTTATGTCATTGCTCTGCCTGGAATGTTACACATTCAGACATTAAAAAAGCTCTACATTTATTCAATTACAGGTGCTTTTACAGCTCAAAAACACCTAGTAACACAGGCATTCTAATTGTGAATGGGGTTGTCTTTCCACAAATCTGACCTGTAACTTGGTCTCGTTTGGTTTCCATGATGACAGAAAGGATTCATAACAAACTAGAAAAAATTCCAGATGAAACAATAACATCTCCATGGAGAAGAGCATTTGATGGACCTTTCACCAGAAAAGTTACAAAGTGCATCTTTACGTTCATATGCTAATCACTGTATATCAACAGATACATGGTCTGGCATAGGACCACCTTAAGGCACACTTGAACCAAACCAGAGCATCACCAGTTTCCACTGTAAAATTAATGATGCATTTAAATGGTCTCATTTTTACTAATAGTAGTTAAAGGTGCATTACATAACTTTTCTGGTAAGGGATCTCCATGATGATATAATTGCTTTTCACAGTATGTTTTCACTTACAACTAAACAAGCAGGAGATGCCACTAGAGCAAGATACCAGTCAGATCTGTGTAGAGGATGGCCCACTGACTGTAGGTGTGTTCTATGAGAAATAAAAACACCCATAATTTAATGAATGGAAAATGGATAAGTTTAAAGCCACACTGTGAAACATTTCAGACCAAGCAAAACAGTCTCCATACAATCTCTCACTTTTTTCAACTGTTGGTCTGAAAAAAGAACCTGAGAAGACCAAATGAACCTCTTTGGTCCATGGAAACAAGCAGGTGGCGAACTCTCGATGCACAAAGTTACACAATGCACTTTTAACGGTGATAGCAACAGAATAATATTGACTTTATACTCATGTTTTTGCAGTAACACACTTTTTATTGCATTATTTTTACTAGGTAAGTGTGCCTTCTGAAAGAGATAAATATATTATAGGTTACAGCAGTAGAGCTATATCTTGCAATGTTTACACCTCAAGAGACCAAAATATCCCAAAAACAAGCTGGCCAACAGAGGAGCGCCCAGGACTATGTTTGTGTGTATACAAGTGTGTGAGTAAGCAGACTATTCTACTTGTTTACTGACACATTAAAATTTCTTTCCATAATTCTACCAATTTGTGTATATGATTTATTTGACTGTCGTCCTTTATGTTGATATTTTAAATGGTCAAAACAAGAAAGAAAGAAAGAAAGAAAGAAAGAAAAAAATGGTTTTATACATTTTGTCTATAACTTAATTATAAGATGTGGTAAACTGCCAATAAGATATTATGGTTATAACTAGAGATGCACCAATCCAGCTTTTTCAGTTCTGATAGCAATTTTGATACTATGACTTAGTATTTGCTGATACCCGATACCAACCAATATCAACTAATATCAACTAATTTATTTACTTCTAACACATTAAAATAAACTGATCCAGACGTTGGCTGATATTTATCAGGAAATAGTCTTATTGCAATTTATATGTCCAACCAGGATAGCTGCTGAATCGATATTTGGAAGCCAATATCCTACCCAGCAAATTTTTCAGTATCGGCACCAATATCCAATACCACTATCGTATCAGTGGTGCATGCCTTGTCATGATGTTATACTAGGTCATTTTGATCTGCTCCTTCCTTACTCAGCTAAAATTTCACGGTTAAAAGGTTAATAAAACATGCTAGTGTTAAAATTTCTTTCACCACATGCATTGACAATGGACAATAATAAGCACTGCACTTGAGTTAGCATTAGCCTTTTACTTCCTCCCCCCAGCTTGGTCAATGCGCAGGACAGCCATAGTCACAGTTTGGTTGCCATGGCGCCTAACTCCATCAAACAGGACGTCAGGTGCATGTGTGGAGGTGTGTGTGTGTGTCAGGTGGGTGTTACCAAGTGACTCAGAGCCACATCACTGACTTGTGGCGGCAATATATCAGACTGTTTGGAATGTAGCACTCCATTGGTTTCTGTGTGTGGAGTGTGAGGCAGAGGTGCTGATTGAGAAGTCGCCTGCAGCACGCTCTCCAAAGCATCTCTGATGGATCTGTGCATGGCGTTGTGTGTTAATGTTTATCCTCAGCTTCTATAAATATTTATTCATTTGTTCATTGAGTCTATGCAATGCCATGCAGGCCTCAGTCATTTAGCATTCAAAATTAGAGTAATAAAAGTTTGCATGCACTGTCAAATGGGTCTATGGGTTATTGTGTTGTCACACATATTTTATTTTCTTTGCTTTTCATCCTTTCCTCTTCTTTATCTCTGATCCTAGCCCACATTTAGAGCATTCAAATAACACAATTTTAAGTATTCCTCTACCTCCCCTCCCTGTAAACTTATTATTAGTTAGTTATATTCACTTTGCTCTCTCTGTACAAGTCCTTGCCATCTCAATATGGTCTCTCTGACTGTATCACCAAAAAATCTAACATGAGGCGGCTCATTGCACTCCATCCTAATTCTATCCATCCATGTCGCTCCTCCAGAAACCCACATGTTAAGCTTCCTTCAACTCTGCCTCTTATATTTCTACTCAATATCATTAGTCTCTCCACTATCTTGCACAAATTTATACCATACCTATATATCTCGTTTCATGTCAAAACAGATCATAATAAAATCTCCAAACAAACACTTTGCATCTGCACAGTGCGTGAAGTGAAGGAAGACTTATTATGACATCTACTTCTGGTGCACATGTCATGGACAGATTTAGAGTCGCGCTCATTGACACTTAAGAAGGTCAGCTGTTTTCCTACACGTGTCACTGTGCAGAGTGCAATGAGGCAAAATGGGCCTGCTAGATTGCAAAAAGTGTTGATAATAAAGTGAAGGAAAATAAAGTCTAAAATGTATTTCAGAACTCTTAAAAATATACAAAAAAATAAAAATAAAAAAATAAATTAAAAAAATTATAATCATTAAGGTATGTTTTTGGTGAATGGTGCCAAATTTCTTGCTTAGTCCCTTAAGTAAGACTATATATAGCACTGTCTCTGTCTTTATAGAGTGATAGAAAAACATGACAGCAGACCTTTCACAACTGAGAGAAAATCATACATCCACCCATTCATCATTTTTTATCTGCATTACTCTATAAAGTCAGAGTCGGACGCAGCAAAAAGGTTTCCAGAGAATATCACAGATCTTACCAAATGGAAAATCCAGCTGGGCAACCAGGAGTGTGTGTGAGAGTTTCTCAGCTTCAAGAAACAGATCTTTGTTCAAATGAGGAGCATTTGAGGTGAAGTCATTGAATGGATCACCTTCAGAAAACAGCCACCTCGTCAGTATATTACAATAATACAAATGGGAGTCTGTAGAGGTGACAGAATATTAAGATTCTTCACACATTTCAATCAATCCTGCAAAAGCTACTACTGTTGTTTTTATGCATATTGTTATGCATCTATGTTGTTTGTTAGTTTAACTGTTTTCAGCATGTTGAACAAAATTTGTTTTCAAATTCAATTTTAAAAAGCTATTATTATTATTATTATTAACTGGAGGACATAATCATTCTGGTTATATAAATGAAAACATTTTGGGTTGGACTCTTTAAATTGAATATGCATCCTCTGTTTCCTTTTACTGCTAGAAACATACGTGCATTGTATAATTTAATGAGCAATAACACAACACACAGACTATGATGTATACAGCTCAAACAGTCTATGTTGCTGTCTGCTGTCACAGATTCATCTGACATTAATAATGAAGGCTCTCCATTTTGAGTTCTGACAGGTGGATTTCTGCAGGCACAAACACAGCGACGCACTGCTCCATCTGAGCTAAAATGAGAAGAATCTGAATATTCAACAGATTTCTTTGTCTGATCCACATTTGCATTTCATTTTCTCAACTGCACAGCAAAGACAGAGTGCAAAAAATAATTCCAAGGATCTCATTACGACTCTTTCGTTGGAAGTATTACTTTATGGCAGCATGGAGGAAATATGATGTCACATATGAGTCTCTGGGTGGAGAAGAGCAATCTCCCATTTGAGTGGTGGGTAATAAAGTTCAGGACTCCCTCCCATTTGAATTGCAGCATTTTTCAGCCTGTCTTTGTGTCTGGTGCAAAAGATATGGTCACGAGCCACAGAAGTCAGTTAAACCACAAAGTTAACTGTGCACTTTTAACTGACAGTCAGCTTTGTCCACTGTCATTGGATGTCTCATTGCTCAGGTAGCATAATGCATAAAAATTGCTGGCTATAATATAATGTAGGATGGTTTGAGAAGCTCACAGCTATAAATGTTTTATAAAATACAGTACTTATGAGCAGTTCATGAACTTTGCATCAACTCAACTCTGGCACTGAGATTTTAGTTCAAAATCTATCCTGCTTCAATGTCTGTCACCTTGGCGACAACAAATGTGTCAGTTATTTACTCATTAATCATCAACACATTCACAAAAATATAAAGATATTTAAATAAGTGTCTGATTTTTATTTTATTTTTAAACTTTTTTTTTATTTCATGCATCTAAAATCTATTTTTCAAGAGCAAACAAAACAAATAAAATAAAACTTCCTTTCTCTATGGCTTCCACATGCATAACTGCTTTTATAATCTGTACAGTAAGTGTCCACACACAGTTCATGCAAAAGTCTATGTGCTGTTTATTCAGATGAGGAGGAAAAGCTGCACAAAGTCAACCAACAGCTCCACTGACAGACTAACAAAGACTACCCACATGCTCAACGCACTACGCTACGAGCAACAGGCTGCCAAGTTGTCAGAATCATAATCCATCAGATATTAATGGCTGATCCTTTGTATGCATGCTTCCCATCCTCTCCCTAGTCGCAGACATGTAAACATCAAGTACAAGCAAAGAGAGGCTGCCTTACCTGCCCACTGCTCCGTGTCTCTCGCTCTCTCCGTCCGGCCGTACGAGTGAGCTCCTCTCCTCTGCCAACGGGAACTGATGAATGTGCACGACTTCAGCCCCGCAGCGTGCAGTGCATTATGGGGTATGGGTTTCTCTCTCCTCCTCTCCTCTCCGCGTTGGCACAGTGGTTAGAGGGGGATGTCCTCGCCTCCTGTCTGGATAGAGGAGGGCCAAATCGCACACACACACACATTATGCACAACGCCTCATGATGACGACTGCCGCGGCTCTGGTCGCCCTAGCAACAGTCTCTTCCTCGCTGCTCCCCCCTGCTCCTCTCCTCTTGTAGCTCTTTAGGCTTTCTCTGTGGGTTCTGTTCAAATAGCCAAATACAACAGAAAGATTATTGATTGCACGCAAGCCCCCTTTTATTAGAGTTTCATATCACATTATTAAAATGTTTGAGCTAAAACGATATTGGAAGAATAAAGATACATTTACATGACCACATGATTGACAACTGTTGCTTAGTGGTTGGCTTTACTGAGGTATGATCAATATGAAGTATCCATGGATTTCAGAATAATGAGAAACTGGGACCACTGCCATCACAATTAACAATAAAAAAAACTAATATTTTATCATTTTGAATGGTAAAAAGTCCTCAAAATGTAGTCAATAAAAAAACCTGAAACCCATTAAAATTTGCCATTAGGGTAAGGACAAACCATTTTTTTTGATAAAATTGTCAGATTACAACTTAAGAGTTGGAGGTACACTAATTTATTAAAATCGGATCATTCTTTTTAGTCATGATGATGCTATTTATGTTGTAATTAAATCTGGTAATTATAAAAGTCCATACATGATTACAAGGTTAGACTAAACAAACTGGAAAGAACGAGGATGATAAAGAGATCTGCTCTCACCGTATCCCATGGTGACTGAGTGGGAGGGAGGCCATGACTGTCCTTCAGGCCCTGTAAATCAGCACTTCACAGCTGAGACCTACACTACAACAACAACACTACGCTAATGCTAACACTGCTAGCCTTTCCTCATATAAGTCTGTCATTTTCCACAACATGTTTCCACTTGACCTAACAGTCCATGGCACTAGCATGTTTTATTAAATACACCAGCTGCAATTTTGGCGAAGTAAGTAGGTCAGCTCAAATGCAATAAAATTAGAAGATATAAAAATCATTCTATGTGCTGCAGTAGCCATGGGAACAGGTAGGAACTAAAAACAGACCACTTATTCCACTTTTTCAAATAATTGCTTAAATGCATAAAAATACCGGAAAGATCTACAGCAACAGGTGATAATGAGTTTTAACAAGCGAAAAAAGTGTCACATAATCCAACAGAGCTGTTTTCTCCTCTACATTATTCTTTCGGTGCGCAGGGACTGTGCCACTAAATTACCTCAGAGCGGCCCCCAAAGGAAGAAAAACGCATTAAATCAATAGAAACCATAAGATGCTCACATTGGAAGAAGCTGCGATTATGACTGAAAGCTCACGGGCTTTAGGTAATGAAGAGTACTTGAGTTTTAGGGACAGCGAATAACCTGCCCAGATTGGAAAGCCAAGGTGATTAGGCTGCTCTTTGGGAGTAATGGCAGCAGCAGGTGTCCACAGGCTCCATGTGCCATGTCTATTCATTAGAGACATTAAGACTAACCAGAGGACACGTACACACGCGCTCAGGCGCCCCTCTCATTGGAACTATTCATTAAGCACGCTGCAGTAGCCCTTAAGCTCAATGACCATTGATTAGGCTTATGCATAATAATAGTGCTGCAACAGAGCCCTATTTATTACTGCCCTTTCACTTTTTCCATCCTCGCTTTTACCTCTATGCTGTTTATCAGCAGCATTCCCACCTTGTAGTCTGCAAAGGAACCCCTGAACAGCAGGATGCACTAATCGCAACTGTAAATAAACTTAATATCCTGATTCCTATTCATATTTCTCACAACTTATACAAGTATTCTCAAATGGCTGAAAGGAAAGCATTGCTTGTTATCTCCAATTGCTTCAGGCAAAGTATTTCTAAAGTGTTGGATTGTTGATGCAAACACATACTGCATCACAAATATTTGAGGAGCTAAACAGCAGTGCGTGCAGTGAGAGAGAGTCTTGGTGCAGCCTCACTATAATACTATGAGACTGGAGTTAAACTATCTGGTGGCAGGCTGAATGGGCCTTGTAAAAGTGCATCTGACATCAAAATAATATTTACCCATTTATTTTTAAAGACGTCTTTCCTCATATTTACGGGTGAGACAAAGTGAGGATGAGTCGGGGGCTTGATGTCTGTCTCTGTTACAATCAGCCACATGCCACAGAGGGAGCTCTGCTGCAAACAGAACAGCAAACACATTTAAATATGTCCCAGATGCACACATGTGCTTTGCCTTTGCTTTGCATAAGCGTTTACAGACCAATCTTTACAGAGTGATCTAGTTTGAACTACTTGACCTTCTATCAGTAGTTTACCGTCCTAGTTACAGATGTAGAAAAGCTCTCCATATAACAGGAAGGATGCCATTCCCTGCTACTGCAGCTACATCCCTGAGCTAGACACTCATGCCTAGCTCAAGGATATAGGTGCAGATAAGCAGACTGTCCTGCGGTAGTTGCTGCAGCAGAAGTAGCTTAGGAGTGTGACTTAGGAAGAGTGAATGAATAATGCACCATAATTGTCCAGTAAGACATTTGACCAAACATGCCTACCTAATGTGGTTGTGTTGTTTGCCCATCAGCACCACTGCCCCTCACTGCATTCCACAAATGAATGTTTCACTGTTGCTGGGACGATAATGTGATTGTTGAAAAGTGCTGTACAAAAACAAAATTCCTTGTTAACTCAAGTCACACGGAATGGTGCAATATAGCTGCAGAATTGCCTGTCTGTGTCAGCATGTTACTCTAGCACACATCATTTACAATACATAATATGAAACATGTACTACTGCAGTGAGAAAGCGCCTACTTCAATACATGGGAGAGATACTGCATGGACGGAGGCAAAGTGAAATAATGATAGACGATAATGAAACTCCCAGTGGTTCTTAGTGGACGGCATTTGCCCAGTGGTTTGATCCATACACCTGACCCTGCCTTGAGGAACGCATTTATCTTGAATTATAAAACACACACATACCAAACAAGTAGTCAACAATGTGTGCTGCTTTGCCCTTGGTACTTACAGCGGCTAAATATTCATAAGGATCATCTTGAGACTCCTAGCAGAAGATGTGAGACTGGGAGTTGAAGATGCTAGGAGATAATGAATATAGAAGGAATGCAGGCAAAAACAGATGGCATTAGGGCTAAACTCGTACGAAAAACACATTTATTATCATTATTATTTTCTAATGTTGAAATACACCAAAGACTCCTGTAGACAAGACTTCAACAGGTCAACAGTTAATAAAAAATTAATGAATACTTGCTGGAGGTTACTGTTAAAATCCACAGGAGTTGGAGAAAATGTCATTCTGGTGCTGCTTCCTTCTTGTGACTAAAATACTACCCAATTGCTTTAACAGAATGTCATCTAGGAAATCACCTGCGGCAGCCCCCAGGCGACACAGAATCCGATTTTGAGTTTGATTGGACAAACAAACAAAGGCTAAAATAATACATGTAAGTGAGTGGTGAGTCCCCAGCACGCATGTGTACATATTCATGAAGCAGAGTTATTCAGTAGATATGGTGCTACATGGTTAATGATTCAGAACACCACTTCAATTGTATTTGGAAGTCAGAAAGCTTTCCCCCGAGGACATACACACTTTCAGCTCTTGTGGACCAAACATGTACAAGGAAAAGTACTACATGCATACATAGATAAGACGACTGCAGTGACTTTGTGTTTGGCCCACATTCTTTACACATTGAAAATTCAATAAAGCCGCCTCATCCTGGCCTTGACGCAAGAAATGTATAACGGTTCCTGTAAAGAATGAAAATGCTGATCGTTTGAAATTCAGCCCCACTGTCACTGTTCAATACTGCCATTGTCTCATGTTGTGCTTTATTTTAGGTAAGGATTATTGTTCTTTTGTATTGATCTAGTGCTGCAGTGGTCAGGGAGTGTTATCTTACAAGCATGAGAATTCCGTATTATAATTCAAATGCCCCTAAAGATACACTATGTAACTTTTCTAGTGAGGGGACTACTTGCTTTTCTGCTTGGACACGTTACTGATTTACCTTGAATGTTCTACAGTATATCATTAAACATAGCATCTATCTTGCACTTAGTCAATTATAGAAGTTTCTATTATTAAAAAAAAATCTGAGAAAACATGCATTGTGAGTAGATAGATTCTTATAGATCTGACCTTTAACTTGACCTGATGCCGTCACATGCTTGTCTCCATGGGGACTCATAGATTTACTGCCATAGTTTGGCCATACTTTCAAGGCAAAGAAATAACTATTTCATGGAGATAATCAGAGAGCGGACCCACTAAAAAGTTACACCTTTAAAGTGCACCTTTAAAGGCCCATACACAATAACTGCATAGGACAGGAACATACATATTAACAAAAACAAAAACCCTTTGCAGAGTCCATAATAGTGGTCAAATTATGTGAATGCTGTTTTAAATGAGAGTAAACAAGACATTGCTGTCTTTTTAGCTAAAAATATGTGTGCATTCTGGAGCTGGCCAGCTTAATGGACTAATTAACTCAAACCTCATGAGGACTGTGAGCTACTAATGAAATTAAAAACCAGCTCACACTACACTTTGCATTAAAGCCAGACTTGCTGCTCTGTTCATTTACAATTCTATGGGCAAATTCCTTTTCTTACACCTCCTTTTATGCTACGTGGAAACATGTAAATCTCTGGCACATGCACATATCCCAACACAATGATTTTTCAGATTTCACACTCTTTTCCCCTTTGCTTTGGAGACAGTAATCCCAGCTGCAGCACTAATAGCATTAGCAGAGCATATCCAATCCTTTTACCATCCTGACAGGGAGCACACTGCCACTGAGACAGGCGCATTGTGAGACTACACTACCCATACTGCCTCAGAAAATATGGCAAAAAAGAAGAAAACCAAGATGAAAGTGAGTATGTGATTAATATTTTACAGATATTGACTTTTGAAGACATATT